TCTGCCCTATGGGGTCCTGCAGGTCTGTTTGTGGACTCCTCCTGGTACCCGGCCCTCCATGGCAGCTCTGTGCCCTGCCTGGCCCTGCTCACCATTGCCTGGCTCCTCTGCTGCCATGGGTTCTCTGCCTACCTCTGGCCAGTTGCTCCCAACAGGTCCTGATGGAGCTCTGCCTGCACTGGGCTGAGGTGGCCCAGTAGGAAATCCTGAGGGCACCTGGTCAGCCAGAGCCAAGCAGGTAAGTGCCAGCAGAGGGGTTGGGAAGGCAGTTGTTGAGTAGCTCAGCTGGCCCAGCTCCTCCCTCTGGGAGTTCCAGAGGCTTCCTCACACATGGGCCTCGTCTAAAGGAGCAAATTCTGCACTGGGCAAGGCCTGCTTCCACCACTCAGTGAGGTCTCAGGCCAGCTAACAGACCCAGGGAGGGCACTGAGGAGGGCTTTGGGGGCGTCTTCGTGGAGGTTTGATGGTGCAGTTGGGCATCTCTGGGCTGCAGAGTGCATGTCAGCATGTCGGGAGCCACAGTGCGAACACCCCTTGAACATAAAGCTGCCTTGTTCAGAGGCTGCCTGTGGGACCCTGCCGCCTGGGAAAGTTCAGCCTGCTCTGCTCCTTCCACCCTCTGGGTAGAACAGTGGACATCTGGGTGCCCACACTGCCTGCCACAGTCGAACAAAGCCAGGTTCCACACACACGCACTCCAGACATGTCTTCTGGAGATATGCGAATTAGATTCTACTAGATCAGACTCTTCCCTTGCTTTTGCCCTGTAGGGAAAAACCTAGCAGTAGTAACTTATCTGGCAGCCCTGGCAACACCCTGCACATTTTCTGACTCTCCACAAACCTTGTCCAGCTCCATTTTTGCCAAATAGAGCCACTTTCGACCTTTCCTTAATGAAGAAGCTGAGAGTCTGCTGTTGTTTCCAGAGCCAAAGGCTAGAAAAGGAGTCACGTTTTCTCTTACTTAATGGACTCGGCCTGTGGTACAGAGAAACTTGGGTTTTTAGAAAGAAACTGCCCACAGCTTTGAACTCACTCCAGCCCCAGGGTCTTGCAGATTTTCCCCAGCTGGTCTCAGAGCTGCAGTCCTCAGGCTGCCACAGCCTGCTGCAGAGCTAGGATTACAGTTGTGCACCACTGTGAGCACTAGCAAGGTGCAGACTCAGCTCAAAGCCCTGAAGGCTAACAAGAACCCCAGAGAGCCACTGGGCACCAAGCATCATAACAGTGCTACCCCTGGCATTTCTCACACTTGACCTGACATCTTCTCATGTGGCTGCATGCTGTGGCCTTTCTGGTGGCTTTCAATAGGTCTGTAGACCCCCATTCTGCGTCACCTGCAGAATGGTCCCTGACTCCCACCCTATGAGCCTGATTCCCCCGGTGTGTGGGCCCCTGGCAAGCTGGAGTCCCAAGCCTCACCCTTCCCCATGAAGGCGCACAAGGCTGTGGTGCTGTTGGAGGATGGAGACACTGAGATGTGTGGGCTTCTGGAGTCAGGAGGCCTGCTGTTCCCACTCCCTTGGCTTATTTGGGTCCCACCATTCCTTGCTGCCTCCTGGGCCTTCCCACAGGTCTTGGCAGGACACTGAGGTTGGAGAGCCCTGGGGCCTGTCCTGGCTTGGGCGGGACACGCGCTTGCCTGTTCCCAAGTGGGTGTCCCGCCCAAACCAACCTGAGTGGATGGACCCTGGTTAAATGGATGGACCCTCTGCTGGGCGTCCCCTGCCAGAGCCCATCCTCTGGCCCATGATGGGCAGGTGCTTGGTGTCATGGCTGCCTTGGGACAGAGCTGACCCAGGGCAAGAATCCTGGCCACAGGCAATGGCATGAGAGGCCCCATCCCAGACAGGTTACAGCTCTCACCAAGGCACTGCTGGCTTTTGTATTTGTTGTTCCACAAGCTTTAGGGAGGTCTGGGGCTGGTCAAGAGGAGCTGTCCCACCTCTGGTCTCATGAGCTCAAGCACTGGGGCTTTGTCGTTGCTCTGGCAGAGCAAAAGTGGCTTTCCCTGTGGCTGTCCTGCCTGCATAGGATTTTGGAGAGACCACAAGCTGCTGGCCCTGCCTGACCATGGCTTTTCTGTTAGGCTGAGAAACGAATGTGCACCTTGGTTTCCCTGCCCAGGGCCAAGGAGGACTCTGTTCTGTGACTGTCCTGCTGCTGGCCATGGGCACCTCGACTCCAGGGCCATGAATATGAGTTGCTTGTCCTTGTAGCCAGGATGGTCCGGGTGCAGCAGGAACATGTGTGCTGCCTAGAGGGGCCTCTCTTGGTATTCCCTCTCTCTCTGGTGAATCTAAACTATGCCTTGTGCAACTCTGTCTCACCTGGCCTCGGCCCAACCAGCCTGTGTCCAGGCACTGCCTGGAACAAAGAGTCAGGCATGAGGCCAGATGCAGCATCACCTTGGCCTTGGCTTCCTCCTGTAAAAGGGCAGTGGTGGCAACACCCATGCCCAGTAGTTATAGGGAAGATCATTCTTTAGGGACACAGGTGAGGAAGTGAAAGGACATGGAAGGCCTGTGTTTGGGGAGTGAGGGAAAGGGTAGTGAAGAGGTAATCTCATTTCCCTCTCTGGAAGGCCACCCCCATGACATGTCCGTGGTGTGGGTTCAGTGTCTGTGTCGTGTCCATGGTCCAGGCTTGGTGTGTCTGTAGTGTGGTCTGTGTGTATTCGTGGTGTGGGCTCTGTGCATTTATGGTGCAGGCTATACATGTCAGTAGTGCAAGCTTGGTGTGTCCACAGCATGGGTTCAGTGTACGTGCAGTATGGGCCATTCGTGTCTATGGTGTAGGCTCTATGTGTCCGAAGTGTGTGTGGCATGGGCTCTGTGTATCCATGGCACAGGGTCAGCACACCTGGTGCTTACAGCAGGCCATCCTGGGAATGGAAGAGTGGAGGGGTGTGAGGGGCAGGTCCTGCTCAAAAATGCCTTAGGATGTGGCTGGCTGTCAGTGGTGATATTTAGTTTATATTAGAATTTGAATGAAATAGGTCAAAGATTCTTGTACTCATCTGGTGGCTGTGTGACAACTTCATACTACTTCATACTGGACAGAGAACAAACAGCAAGACTGACCCAAAAGGAGACAGAAAGCTTGATCAGTCCTGTAACAGTTAGTGAAATTAAATTTGTCATTAAAACCTCTACAAGGAATGACAGACCTGCAGGCCTCACTGGTATGACAAGCCCAGCAACAGTAAAGGGGTCATTCACAGACTATGGAGTTGCCGTGTTGCAGACCGGTAGGTGTCTTCATAATTGTGCGCAACTCACAGTCTCACATGGAGAGCAGTGGTTAGCAAGGGCTTCCTGATACAGACCTGCGTGGAAACCAGAAATAAGGCAGGGGTCTGGGAGCCCTGCAGACAGAGAGTCTGGAATGTGGTCCAGCAATTGGCAGGCCAGTGTGGCCAGCTTAGCATATCAGGTTGTGCCAAGAACCCTTGGGCTCTGTGTCCAGTGCTCCTCCACCCAGGGTCCTTTTCCTCTGCCCCCTTTGGCTATCTCCTGCACACCCATGTCCACTTCCTGCCTCCTTTCTAGCTGTATTTTGAGTGCTGTTCTCACCTAGTACTATTCAGCCCTCCATCTCATCTTCCTCACTGTGTGCAGTGGCACAGGTTCTTCTGGTCCCCACTTCCATACCACACAGGGTCCTGGTGGCCTGTGACTTGACTGCTATGGATCTGGCCTCATCCCATGGGCTGCCATCATGTAGCTAGGTCTAGGGGCGAACCTATCCCTCCCACTAAGTGCCCTTGGCTGGGTCTGCTCAACACAGGTAGCTGAGGATCATAGAAGTAATGCTTCCCACATGGCTTCATATCATGCCAGACATGTGATGCTGGCTGTCCTCATAATTGAGGCAAGGTATAACTTCCTGGTTCTGTGGAGACACAACGCAGGCTCCTCCTTCACAATTAGGAGGAGCCTCTGAAGAAAAGGCACCTCCTGCCCCCCAGTTTGTTTTTGTGGTACTGGAGATGGAACCCAGGCATGCTCTACCACTGAGTCACATCACCAGCTCTTTTAATTTTTACTTGGAGACAGGGTCTTGCAGTTAAATTGGCTCATTGAGACTCGAACTTGTGATCCTGCTGCTTCAGCCTCTCTCGGTGCAGGATTACAGGGTCATACAGCAGGGACTCGAGGCACCAGAGTAGCAAGTACACTACATGGAAGTGTGTGGCAGTGCCTTGTCCGTGGCCCTTGTTTCTGCTGCAGCATCCAAGGCCATGACAAGTGTGACAAACAGTATCCACTCTGCCTGAGAGAGGCGAGAACCTGTCACATGGGTGTCCCATGGCCCTTGCTGCCCACACTTCAGTCTGTACACAGACTGACAGAGCCCTCACCCCGGGACAAGTGAGGCCTTTGCTTCTGCTAGGCGGGAGTCCGGGAGTTGGGATGGCACTTCAGCCTCCTCACAGGCCCTGGACCAGAGTGTTCCTCACCAAGGGCCTGGCCACTAGGGCCTGTGAGGCCCAGGATCTGAAAGGCTCTGGGAATCCCTGCCCCAAGACCAGTAGGCATGAGGGCAACCAGAGAGCTAACCTCCTCTCCCTTCCTTCCTGCAGCCTTATCTCCTTTTGGCCCAGGTGCCTTCCAGGGAGACAGTGACTCTGTTTGGAAGAAGGGCTGGTGGAGCTACAAGGGGTAAGAGCCCAGCTTGATGCTTAAAAACTTGCTGCTGAAAATTATTTACAAATCAGACTGGGCATTGTGGCATATGCCCGTAATATAAGCTATTCAAGAAGCCAAGGCAGGAGGACCACAAGTTCAAGCCCAGCTTGAGCAAACTACTTAATTAGAGAGACCCTGTCTTAAAAAAATTAAAAATGGCTTTAGGTTTAATCCCCAGTACAAGGGTGAGGGGTCATCGGAGTATATAACTCAGTGGTAGAATGGTGCTGGGTTCTGTCTTCAGTACAAGAAAAAAACAAGAAAGGGCAGGAAAAGAAATCAGAGGCCTTTCCTCTTGTAAATCCTTTTTTGTGTCCCAGGGAATTCTTGTCACGATGGTGGGTTTCTGGGTTGGTGCTGTGCAGATCCCCTGGCTGGGAGCTTGGGGGAGTAACCTGAAGCATGCTGCTCCCTTGCTCTTGAGCACCCTCGGCTACTGGATGGAGCTCTGAAAACAAGCCCGCTGTGTAGCTCTGAATCACACAGTTTTGCTCAGCACCCAACGGCAGCTACAACACTTTACTCTTCACAGCATCTTGTCTGCTGGTGCTGCTTGTCTGTGCAAGTGGCCCTGTTGGTGAAGACCACACTGTTGCTCCTCTTGAAGCACCCAGATCTCATCCACACACAGCCAAGTGCACAGATCTCTGGTGTCCAGATCCATGAGTTCTGACAGGTACCTGCACCCACATCACCACTGCCCCATCAGGAGGTGATTAGCTTCATTCCAGAATGTCCTGGCCCCCAGAGGTAGTGTCTTCTGCCATGGTAGAGAGGCTGCTGAGGGGACCTGCGGCAACACCAGGTTTCCACAAAGCCTGAGGTTGGAAACAGTGAAATGCCCACCCCAACAGAGGGGATAGATGAATTGTGACTCAGCTGAGGAACCATGGAGCCCGAACAGCAGTGGAGGATGGTATCAGGCAGACAGGGGATGTGAGCCCCACTTCCTAGGGACATGAACAGTGAAGAGAGCCCAGGTGGGGACTGGCATAAACCTGGGTTCCTTCCAGAGGTCCTGCCTTCCCCAGTGCCCCAGTCTCTGTGTGGCTGTCAAATTTCAAATTTTTTTTTTTTTTTTTTACTTTTTTTGATACCGGGAATCAAAGTCAGGACCTTGTGCTTGCGAGGCAGGCGCTTATGCCACTGAGCTATATCCCCAGCCCAAATATAAAGCATTCTTTTTGTCTTTTTGAGACAGGGTCTCGTTATGCAGTTCAGGGTGGCCTTGAGCTCACTTGGTAACCCAGGCTTCTCTCAAACTTACAACGATCCCCCTACCTCAGCCTCCCAAGTGCTGGGATTACAGGTGTGTGCCACCACGCCCGGCTATGTTGCTGTCAAGACACTGACTTGACCTTCTGCACCTGATGGCCCAAGGGTCCCCTTCCTGGCTCACCTCACTGGCACCATCAGGACTGAGTTCATGGGTTTTTTTGAGATTTTGCCCAAGCGAGTCACTAACGTCAAGCTCAAGTGATACTCCTGCCTCAGCTTCCCTAGAGTTGGGACTACAGATATGCATCACCACCATGTGCAGCCTTTCATGGTTTTTTGTGACCAAGTAGAGTGACAGCAGTTTCAGTGACCTTAGACCCAGGATCAGGATGCCCTCAGAGGGGAGTGGGTGGACAAGCAAGGAGCCCCCACTGGAGTCAGGAGTCCCTGGGCAACAGGTAATTCAGGTATTCACACACATGGGAAGACCCCAGTCCTAAGAGTGTGGTACATGGCACCAGGTCAGTACAAAAAAAAAAGAAAATTTGAGATTTGACAGCCACACAGAGACTGGGGCACTGGTAAACAACTGCTACCTCCTCAGGCTCCCATGGCCACCTGTATGGGCCTGCAGAGTCAGAAGATGGAACGTGCTGGCCCAACATGGCCACGCAGACACATCCAGCACCAGCACAGGGTTAGTACTGGGGCACAGGAGCACTGTATTGAATGGGCAGTTGGAAGCCTCTGGCAAGTTGTGAGAGGAGCTGCTCAGCCTGGCAAGGCACAGAAACCCAGGGAGCTCTGTGATGCTGAGGAGCACCCCTAGGATCAGGGCAGGTGCAAGGCAGGTGAAACCATGGGTCCATGGGGACAGAGGTGGGGCAGCTGGGGTCATCCTGCCATGTGCCACCTCATGTGAGGGACAGCCAGGGCCATCTCCATCACCCTGAAGCAACCACAGGAGCACATGTAGAACTGAATGGCTATTGGTTTATTAGTTTGATATAATTTCTATAAAGACAAACTATAGAGAAATAAGTAAAAACCTTGACATTCATGTTATGAGGGGAAATAACCAATTTTAAAATACTTCCTGTGCTGGTTTTCTGATATGTATCACACACCCGTAGAAAGACACATTTTACAAATCCAGAATTAGGTAATTAGTGTTAAATAACTTAATAGTCTTAAAATGTGTGGGATCATCTAGCGGTTTCTTCTTTTTCAGATTCACAGAACCTCAGGCCCACAGGCACAGCACTGGGGTAGAGACCACAGGACAGAAGTCAGAAGGCTCCCAATTTCCAACCAGTTTTAAATTCAAGAATTTAACAAACAGTATAACTTCTTAATTTATTCTTGCTTTATGCTTTGCCAATTGCTTTTTATAAAAGAACAGTGCTTGTTGATTTTGTGGTATGTCTGCCACAATTAGCAATAGGTCCAATTTCCTACGGTGAATCATATAACCTTTGTAAAGGAAATCCAAGATGAAACTCACTTTTTAGAATATTAAATAATGGAGCAGGGCAAGCTTTCTGGTGGATTAATAAAAGTAAGATGATTAGCTTTAAATAATAGTCAAGCACTAGTTGGTGAAAAACTCGTGGCCCTCAAACACAGTTTCAAAAAAGTTTGACCTGGCACAGTCAGCTCATGTGAAGAGACAAGGACTGATGAGCTCATGGTCCCCTCGGGCTTTTGCCAGAGAGCTCCTTATTCTCCGAGAAGCTTGAGCTTTCCATTTTTTCTCTCCTTGGGAACATGGCAGAAGAACTGGGAATCAAATGTTTTAGAGGGCAATAGATAAGCTAGGCACACAGGATCCTCCAGGCCAAGTTCAGCACAGCACACAAGAGCAGGTGTCCGAGGACAAGGGCTGTGCAGTGAGGAACATGTGGGGGCTGCTATAAAAGTCAGTGCAGGGGGAAAGGGATTTGCTTCCACCTGGGGTCTGCACTGCAGGTGGCTGCCTGCTGAGTGCCTGCCCTTATCAGGACAACCCACCCAGACTACGGGCATTTACTGGGTCTGTACCTCTGGCCAGGTGAGGGTGAGTCACATGGGTCCCCCAAGACTTAACCAGTTTGCACGCAAAGCCACTGAGGAACTGAAAGGGACATGTGATTCCCACAGCCTCCTCGCATTGGGGAAGACGAGTTAGGTGGAAGAATTCCAGGAGGGCAGAGACCCTGTACCTCTTCTGCTCTGTGCTAGCATGGGGTCTACCCCTTGCCAGGAGCTATTTGCTCTAATAGAGCAAAAGGTACAGAAAGTATAATCCAGGAAAAGGGTCTTTTTTTTTTTTTTTTTTTTTGGAGACAGGGTCTCCCTATGTAGTTCAGGCTGGCCTTAACTCACTGTGTAGCGTGGGCTGGCCTTGAATTCATGACAGTCCTCCCGCCTCAACCTCCCCAGGATTATAGACACGCACCACCACACCCAGCTATGGTCTTTTACTTTAAGCAAAGACACCACCACCACAAAGAGCTCTCCCTATCTGGAGCCTGTTTCCCCTACTAACTAGAAAAGTTGGGCTGCCCTTGGCTTAATCTTGGTGCCTGGGCCTGTTCACCCTTAAGAGAATTATAGACAAGCAGGCAGCAACCAGCTGCCCTCTGTGGAGTGGGGCTGGGCTGGAATCTGCAGGATTGGGGTTATCACTTCCTCAGCAAACAAAACTGAGGTTTTAACTAGAGCCATCGGGATAGGAAGCCTGGCGGCTACTTCTGTTAGCAGTAGACCCTCCTCAAACTCTGCACTTGAGAAGGGAGGGAAAGATAGGGTTGCAGCCTTAAAGGTTTGAACAAGACCCTGACATAATAAACAAAAACTTCACAGTGAGAAGCAACTCAGAGAACAGTTCTCCACTTCAGCCCCATCGTTTGTGGATAAGGAACTGGGCCCTAAGGAACTTGCAAAGTGTATCACAGCTGGTAGGGGCAGACATTGGACCCAAAGCCAGGGCATCCAGTGTATTTTCATAATTCTTCACAAAGCAAAGTAACTCAAGCACATCACAATTTGAGGAGACATGGTTTGTGTACAATAAATACAACTAAAGCAAGTAACTCATGGTTGAATTTCCCAAGAGACTAGGACCAGAGTTCAAGGCACCAATCATAAACAGGCCAAAAGGCAGGGTCACACTGCACAGCACCAGGCAGGTGTGTTCAGAAGCCAGCCGCAGGCCTGCACGTCATGTTAGAGACACCAGGCCTGGGCAGTACCCCATCACAGCAGCCTTGCTACAGAAACAGAGGGCAACATGCTGGAGGTGCCTCACATCACTTCTGGTGGTCACTTGGGAAAAAGTCACCCCCAAAGCTTATAGACTTTTCTGGGGTTCACAACTGGGGATTTGCAATTGTGGGCCTATAATTAAATCCTAAAGAACGGGAGTGGAGGACATGGGTGGTGCAGAGAGATGAGGGTTGGTAAAAGTAGCAGGGCTGAGGCAGCAGATGGGTGCCTCACTTGTGCTGACCCACTGCTGACACCCACGTGTGGCTGCACACAGAACAGGCCCCGCAGGCCGCCTCCTTACCATGGATGCCAGGCTCCAGACACCTTGAGGAACCAGCTTCACACCATCCTCTCCTCCCTCCCATGCCTCTGATATGAGTGCCCTAGGAAGGCCCTTCGCTTAGGTAGTAAGTTAGGAATCCCTCCTTCTTGAGCTCATGTGTATTCTTTAGTTTCATGTGCCCTCTGGGGAAGGGGTTTAGAGGGACAGGTCTGTACGGAAGGAAATGAGCTGGTGCTGTCAGTGGGGCAAGGACACATGGTGGGTGAGGACCTGCTGTGTTCCAGTTACAACTGTTAAAAGCCGGCACACGGGCCACCATGACCCCATGACTGTGTACCCCACCATATGCCATCCTCAATGTAGGCTGCCAGTTGGCAGTAATACTGCCTTCTTTGTACTGTTTCCTTCATCTTAATACTTGTCATTTTTCTGTCAAACAGCTCTATAAAACAAAAAAGGGGAATCAAGTACTATGGCAATACAAAGTATAAATACTGGCTTTAAATTTTATCACTTCATTCCAAAAGCCTGGTGTCGAGGAGGCTGAAGGTCAGTTCGCTATGAAGACATGGACCGGGAGATGTCTTCAGCAGAGACGCCCCATCTCCCATAGAGGGTGGGGTGGTAAGAGGCAGCCTGTCCCTCGCACAACAGGCCTGTGCTTTCCCAACATGGCCTACCTAAAATGAGCCTTTTTTGGGGAAAACATAGAAAACCTCAAGAAAATACCCCTTGTGCAATTCTTGTAGCAGTGCGTCTCTGGGAAGAAAGCGCCAAGCGTCCGGGTAACAAAGTGCTATGTATCCAGTTGAACTTGGTTTTCCTTGTGGCCAGCTCATCCCCCAGGACATGCGGCCAGAGAGGGGCAATGAGGCCCCCAGCATGGTCACTGCCAGCCGGCACTCTCCTTAGGCCTCTGCCATCACTGGCTGGACCCCCGAGGGATCCGGGGAGCAATGCTGGAGCCCACAGTTCATTTTCTTTATCAGTCGCCGGAGTTTGCTAGGGAAGTTTCTGTTGATGTGGCGGTAGAGCAGTGGTGTCACAGAGCTACTGGAGAAGGCCAAGAACTTGGACAAATCCTTAGCAAAGTACAGGATCCCCAGGTAGTGCCCGTCTATTGGCTTCCCCCGCGAGACGAGCACCGTGTGCCCCAGGAGGCTCAGGTAGTGAGGTGTCCAGAGCCCGAACTGTGTGCACACAGTGGCCACCAATAGCCTGTGCACCCAGGGGTCTAGCCTCCCCATGTCCTGGTCCAAGGGCGTGTCCTCTTTTCGGATCCGAGAGATGAGTGCCAGGGCATACAACACAGCCAGGCCTGGCACCACATACCCAATGAGCACCAGGATGGCATCAGCAGCCTCCGTGTTCTGCATCTTGGCACACTCGGCAACCCGGGAGGACACATGGCTGCAGATGTAGAAGAGCAAGGAGGAAAAGCTGGTGAGCAGCGCCCCACCCCAGACAAAGCCACACACGTGTCGCGTGTTATACACACTGGCCATGTAGGTGCGTGGTAGGGCCCTCTCAATGTAGTAGTCAAGGCTGAGCAGGGCAGTGGAGTACATGGTCACCAGGGAGGCCACATTGAACAGGATCAGCAGTGTCACATGTGCCTCGCTGCTGAGGCTCCACAGTGCCCACCTGGTGTGGGGTGGCCCCAGGAGGTGCACAGGAGCCAGGGCGCTGAGCACTAGGCCTGCCACGGCCATGTTCACAAAGTACACATCTGGCATGGTCATACTGCTCTTGCTGCTCAAGTTCACTAGCACGAGCAATATGTTGTAGCCCAGGCCGACGGGGACGCCAGCCACCAGGTAGAGCAGAGAGAGGACCCAGAGCCCTAGGCGCAGGTCCTGGCACAGCTGCTCCTCATCCTGTGTTGTGCCGTTGAGCAGACCACAGCTCCACATGGCGGCCTCACCCAGGCTCCACGGCTCTGTGGAGAGAAGGGACAAAGTCAGCCATTCCTTGGCCCCTTGCTGGGCACCACCAACCCCTTGGAAACTGTACAAGGTCCCAAGTAAGGCTACTATGACACTTATGGCCATGGTCAGGCTCTGGGATCCCACTTCCTCAGGAAGTCAAGTCCTGGACAGTTCACTTCTGACACTACCACAGAATCTGCCCAAGGAGCATGCCATACCCTTCCCTGCATCGTGAATCTAGCAGCAGAGAACTGCTGCCACCTTTTGGCACTGGGGGGCTCTACAGGGACAGAACCCACCTGACTCCAGGCACCTGGCAGTGCTGCGGGGCCCCCACTGTCAGCTGGTGGGCTATTGCCACCAATAAATACTGAGCACCTACTGGGAGCTGGCTGGGGGAAGGGCACAACACAGAGTGTTACCTGGTGGGATACAGATATGTGTACCTGTCTGGACACCTGCTGAATAGAAGCAAGAAAGAAGCACTTGACAGGTGGGAGCATCACATGTGCACATGCAGCATAAGCTCTGGCCCACAGGTGGACCTGGAAAAGCAGCTGGCACTGAGCTGGGCTGTGTGGGATCCCGGCCCACCCCAGAAAAGTTGCTTCTCTGGAGAAGGTGCGTGCCGGATCCTGAGAGGGAGCCCAGTGCACCCTGTGGTCTTAGAACTCCTATCATGCCAGCACAGGGCAAGTGAGCTGCTCTCCCCAGCCTATACAGCCTAACACCATGGTTCCTAAAGCCTGCTGGGTGACTGGTGCTCATGTCTGCCTGCACTGGCAGCATGATGGTCAGCCCCAGGGCAACACTGAGCCTGGGTTGCCTGGGGACACAGCACATCTTGAAATAACCACATGTGAACCTGATAGGTGGAGCCCTAAGTTAAAGAATTCTTCCTCTACAAAGAACAGACATTTTTCAGGAAACTCTTACATTTAAAATGTACTTTGACCCAACTAGACCTCTTGCTCGCAGAATGGGAGACAATGTCTGAGGCAGACGCACAGAAAGGCAGCCGTCCTGTTTCCCAGAGCTCAGGGACAAAGCAAGGAAGCCAGGCTATCGGGATTGGCTCTGGTCCTCCCTGCTGAGGGCCTCACCAGAGGAGGCTCTGCAGTCCCCATCTCCACAAAGGATCCCGGCAGTGGGGGACAGGGGCTCCCACCACCCCTCGTCTGCCGGCAGCATGGGTGAGGGTACAAACAGCAAAGTTTATGATGGAGAAAATAGTCTGTACTCTGGTGCCACCCCTCACCCCAGGTGCAGACAACATTGTGAAGTCCCACAGCACTGAAGACACTGCCCCTAGGCCCATCTTCAGTGGCAGCTTTGGTCACCCTCACACCCCAATTCTGGCAGGCGTTGGGCTAGACTCCAGGCTGCAATTCTCAGGTGCATATGGGAGGGACACCAGGCCTGGAGCATAGTGCAGCGCCTGTGTGTGGTCCCCACAGCTGAGACAGGATGTCAAACAGCAGTAAGGTGCCAAGAGCTAGCCCCACTGGGCACAGGGCAACCTTGTTCTCCCCATTCTCTTTGAGCATGTAAGTCCTGAACTAAGCAACTACACTCCAACTAGGACCCTGCCAACCCTTCTACTCAGCCATCCTGACCAGCCCCAGCCATGACCAGTGAGCCGCATGGGGTAGGGGCAGCAGGGGTGTCAAAGGTGTGGGTACCTCTGATCCATTCCCAAACCATTATCTCTTGAGGCATCATCTATGGTCCCTGGACCAGCCCAGTGGCTGGTCCTTTCTGTTTCTCCTGTTCTAAGTCTCCCCAAATCCTGGCCACAGAATGCCTGCAGCCAGCATCTGTGATTAAATACTGTCTCTCAGGTGTGTTAGTCCCCAGGCTCCTGTCTCCCGAGCTGCACGGCTTTGGTGGACACTGAACTGAGCAGGAGCCCAGGTTGTGGGGACTCAATCCTTCTACCATCCACCAGACCTCATGGGCCACAAGTCTCACAACACATTCTGTGGCCACTGTGAGTGGGTGTTAATAAGCTATGTCTGCATGCAAGAGTGTCCTGTTCTCACAGGCCATCAACCCACGGCCCAAGCCCTGCTGGCCCAGCACCCCCTGTGGCATCCAGGATTTTCTGGCCCAGCCTCCTGTGGCATCTAGGGCCTACGCTGTTTGAGGTGTTCCCACGCATTCCCATTTCAGATCTCCTTCCCTCCTCTGTGATAGCAGCTACAAGGGCCACACACAAAAGGGCCACACACTGTGATGGACACCAAGTCCTCCAGGGACCTTACAAGTGAGGCACATCCATCCAACAGATGTGGTCAGGGGCCTGGCTCACTCTGTCCTTGCTCCATATCCCTGTCATCTGTCCTGAAAGCACTCCTGTTGGTGGCAGGTCATCAGAGCTCCCTCCTGCCTATAGTGGTTGCTCTCCTGGCCACCCTTGTGCCCAGCAGCGTCAGCCATTGGCTCTTACCTTTACCTCACATCCCACATTCTGTGAGGCCGTGGACTGCAGACGCTGTCCATGGGCCGCATGGCAGAGCCAAGGCACCCCTGCAGAGGGACTGTCCTGTGCCTCTGGAAGCCCACGACCCCCATCCACTGCAGCTGAAAAGCGTGGGTGTGGGCATGTGTGTGACGCTGCTACAGGCTCGTGCCAGGAGACGCCGCACTTGTTTTCCTCCAGCAAATTACTCACGTGGCTCCTGCCTCCCTTGGCAGCACAGCGGCCCCTCCCTACCACCGTTTACAGCCGGTTTCAAGAAATGAGAGGTCATGCTTGGATGGGCTGGTGCTCCCAGATCAAGCGTGTTCACATCCTCTCACGCTTGGCTTGGTAAATGTCCAGGCTCCTGGGGGCTGGCTGGTTTACATCGAGGCAGCGGTGGTATTTCCCCTCAGTCCCTCCTGTGTATATCCGGCTCGCAGCATGTCCTGTAGGGAGTGGGGGTAGGTCTGGCACAGACTCGGGGTCCTGCTACTCAGAATGGCTGAGGAGATCAGTTACAAGTTCTTGCTCCCCTGAGGAAACAGACTAAACAGACGTTTGTGGAAACTAAGCTGTGGCTGCTGGGGCTCAGTGAATCCAGTCAGAAGTCAGACCAGAGAGGTCCTGGCCACCCTGATGTCAGACTCAGAGACAGCAGCCCTTTGAAGGCACCGCCAAGGCACAGGCCAGACTTGGAATCAAAATCCAGGACCAGGGAGAGAGGTGTTCCTGCAGCCTTCACACGCATTGCCAGGCATCCTCTGCCTGTGCAGTGTGCACGGGGACCGGGAGCAGCCTCAGGAGGGTGGATATCAGCAAGGTCCATGCTGCACTGCACCCTCTGCATCGGAGTGGAGACTGCATCTGCCTGGCCTGCTGACTCCCACTGCCAGAAGTAGAGCAGGAAGAGCCTTCCTGGAAGTGTCACGTGGAGCGGCTCTGCTTAGATTCCTGGCTCTCACGTGCGAGGGTGGCCTCCCCCTGGGTCTGCAAGAGCACTGCTGAAGGAAGTTCGTGTGTTTATGCCAGCCGGGGCACACAGCAGAGGGGGCCGTGGCTCTCACTTTTATTTACTGGCAGCTATACATGGTGAAGGATTTATAAACTTTATTTCATAAGCTGGACTTAGCTTCTATGTATAGTTTTCTTATATAACTTTTGTTTTACACAAAGATCACAAGCCAGATAGTACCCATTTTCATTCACTTTCAGTCTACTTGAAAATGACATGCTTTGCTTTTCGTTCTGGTGTTACCTCCAGGGAGCTAATGCATAACCTGGAGATCTTGGGAGCAAAGTAACCACGTGGGCAAGTGGCCCTGAAGGCTGCTGCCGCCCACCACAGGGATACCCACAAAGTTGAGATGGGATGTGGAGGGTGGAGAAGCAGCTCTGCAGTCATGGTGAGAAGCAGAGGGGAACCTGGGCATCCTGTGAGGGTTTATGGCACTCTCACCTGCAGGAGTGGCCCACAGCCACAGGACCCGCATGCCTGTGTGTGTTGGGGGTGGGGAGCAGTGGCTGCTGGAGCTCATTGAATCCAGTCAGGAAGTGTTGTTGCCTCACCTCATCACAGGGCAATGAGTGACCTGCTTCTTCCCATTATCCTTTTGTTCCTGGGAGCCCTGGCTGAGAGGAGTCCTGTCCTGCTCTGAGCCTCTGCAACGAGCCCCTGCAACCAGTGGGATCTGATGGCCCAGGCCCTGTGCTCATCCTAGCTGCACGGGCTGTGGGTGGGGAATGGGCCCTGTGCAGGCAGAGCTGCAGGACCTCCCTCTCCCTCCCTGCTTCATGGTTCCAGTTCCCCTGTGGTCCTCCTCCTTCCTGTTCCCTTGGCTGTTTGAGGAAGAGGGACATCCTGTAGGTGGGGAACAATGGCTCGGTTCCCACCCTCCAGCTTCAGCCTCAGGACCTGGGCTGGGCAGTCCTTCCAGTCAGCCAGGCCTCCTGGAAACTTTCTTCATGACAAATCGAGCACAGAACCAGATAGTAGGGGTTTGGGAGGCAGAGGAGAAACCCCTCAACATACTCTTTTCCGGTCAAGTCTCTCTACATGATGGGTAAGTCTGAGTTGAACGAGTTTATCAGGATGGAAGATTCCAGAAGGTCCCTCAGTATGCAGACACAAGAGCACAGAGAAGGTATCCTTCAACACAAGAGCACAGAGAAGGTATCCTTCAACCATGATGGGCCTTTGCTCTTGGCCTGGGCCAAGGCCTAGGGTGCCAACACTCCTGGCACACGCTTGTGTTCCACCCATTTTCATTTGGGAAGCTGCCGACCAGATGGCAAGATTAGTACCCAATTTCTGGGGCCCTTCCCCCGCTGCCCTCCTTCTGCTAGAGGGGTCCAGATCAGCAGAACCCCTGGAGGCCTCTTGCTATTAGAGAAGAAAACATTCCTTATCCCTAGGACAACCACCCGCCCCCAATCACAAAGCACTGCCCACCTAACCCCCTGCCAGCCCCTTTGCCCATCTGCATCCTCCTGGAGGAACTGGTGAAAGCCCAGATTTTCAGGAAGGCCCTCTCCACCACCCCCTCTCTCCACCCCCATCTGTCACCTCCCCTGGGCTCTCCTGCCAAGCATGTTCCTCCTCACGCTGGCTGGTTTGGTCACCTTCCTTCCGCTCTCATCACTGGCCTCTCCCACCCCGAAACTTCCCCCACTATTGCTACAAGACCTGCCAGGCTCATTCTCACCCACGCCCCTCAACATAAGGGTACCTCTCAGGCCAGGTCCTGACCCCCAGTGCCCCTTTCCCATGACTCCCTCCCCCTGGCAGCAGAAGCCCCTGCTGACCACATTCAGCTCACCTTGGCAAAGCCCTGGGTTTCTCCTGACCTCCCCCGCCTGCCCTGCTTTGGGCCTGACCACCTCCTAGGCAGCTTTCCAGCCAGCTTCCAGCTCCACAGTGACCAGGAACATAGTCCACAGTTTTGCCCTGACCCCAGGTGCAACGTCCCCGGAAGGCGATTGCAAGGACACACACAGCCCCAACTCTCCAATCACTGGGGGAGACTGCCTCAGGATCCTGGCCAAGGGGGCCTCAAGGTCACTTCCTTGCCTTGCAATGTGCCAGGCGGTGGCAGGTCAGCCTGGTCCCCAGGTGTAAGTACACCCGGCAGGGCAGGTGGGCTTCCCAGGCCAAGGCTGCCTCACCCAGCCTGGCCAGGAATGGGTGACTTTGGGCCACATGAGGGCCTCTGGCTACCAAGATGGTTGTAATCACAGTCACTTCAGTGTTTTCCCTTTAAAAGAATTTATTAATGATATAATGTGACTTATATGCCCTTTTTCTCTGTCTTTTAATTACATCCATGAAGCCACAAGGTCATGGCTGGTTTTGCATCTGCTCACTCCCTCCCATGGCAGTGATGCATCCTGTGTAAAGTGTCAAAGTTGTGGGTTCAGGACCAGCAGAGGACAGAGAGGAGGGGTGCAAAGGCTGAGCATGCTAAAGCAGAAAGGGGATACTGCCCGTCCAAGCCAGCTGTGAACCCTGATCAGCAGTGTGATTCCCACTGGGCTGGCTTGTGAGCAGCTGAGCCCTCAGCCCACTCTACTCACGGCGTCCCCTCTGTCTCTCAGCAAGTTAGAGGGGGGAGCTGTACACAAATGTGTCACAGAGCTGGGGTTAGAAAGGAAGCCAGGGGATCAAGGCTGTGGTGCCTATGTGAGCCCACCCTCCTCATCATGGTCAGGCTTTTCGTCATGTATGATGGGAGGGTGCTGGGGCACTGGCAGGAGTGCTGTACAAATGAACCCTTCAAGGAATCACAGTGGGCACAGAGCCATCCCCTCTCCCAGTACAGGACAGCTTGGCTGGGATGCCAAGGCTAGAATTTTATGGTCAGAAGAGTTACCAGGGCAGAACCAACCCACTGTGGCTCTGTGCATTCTGTCCAGGCCTCTCTGCTGGCTTTGGGGTGACCTCAGGCCAGCCTGTTTCTTGTCCTTCTGGAGCCCAGTAGGAGTAAGAAGGCAGCTGCCTCTTAACGTGGTGGGGCCGGGCCTAATTATCACTTGTGGGATGATCAGCAGCCAGTGGGTGCACAGGTGGTTGTTTTCATTCTGAGGTGCACTGGAAGGCCCCAGGGAGCACTGTCCTTTAGGAGTCTGCACAACCCCAAATTCTGGATCTTCAGTGGGTGTCTATCTCTCTGCTGGACAGCTGCTTGCATCATATGTACTCCTGAGTGAAGGCAGAACCACCTGCCCACACAACCCCAAAAGCTCCAGTTACCTCACAGGAAGATGCACCTGCCCTGGCCCCAAGGAAGTCCTCACCAGTGGACTTTGTCTCAGCTTCCTTTCGCCCTCCCCTCATCTGTACTGCTTTGGAGCAAAAGAACCACCAGGAAAAGGTCCTCTGTGGGAGCAGAACCCTCCTGCTGACCTGAGCAGCCACTGTCCTTGCAGACTTAGAAAGCATGGAAGTGCCCACCCCAAGTCAGGTGGTTTCCTGCTCTCTTATGGGCCCTGAGCACATACTTGGGATCTAGGGTTTCTTCCTAATTTCTAGCCACAAGCCCCTTGAGCATCCCTCCCCAGAGGTCATCGCCCAACAGCCCTGAGGCACCTGGCCACTATACTCTGTGCTACCAAGTTTGCCAGCCAAGGAGTCCCTGGTCAGAGCAAGGCAAGCCTGGGGGCAATGGCAGCCTGTAGAATGAGACCCCACTACACAACCCCACCCTTCAGCACCTGTCCTGACACTGAGTCCTCACACTGGCTAGTTTGCAGGATCTGGAGGTCCTGGGTAGCAGGTACAAGCAGCATGATGCAGCTCTCCTTCACTACTGGCAGGGGGCCAGGCTGATGCAATGGGAGGGACAGGTGCTGAGCACTGATGTCCCTGGACAGGGCTTCACACGCAGAAAGCTAGGGGCTTCTGAACAGGGTGCTTAAAACAAGACAATGCTAGTCCTAAACTACCTTTCATACTCTCAGACCCTAGCCCTACATCTCACGCTACAGGGAGTCAGAACATGGTTGACTGGAATAAATGGTGCTGCTGTATGAAAGCTGTGTCCTGTGGTCTGCAGAGAACTGAACTGGGCAGCAGAACCAGTATCCAGACCTTAGAGAAACTCCACATCCCCAACTTCTCCATGAAGGAAGTGCTTGGGAATTCAGGCTCAGGAGCCAGGCTGCCAGGAGTTGCATACAGTCTTTCTGTTTACCAGATGTGTGACTCTGGGTGGGCAGGTAGCTACTATCTCTGTGCTGAGTTCCCCCAAGTGTAGGAAAATCCTCATGTGATTGTTAGAAAGAGTAGATACATCAGTTTTTGTAAACCCAGAAGAGTGCCTGGCACTTGCTAAGCCAAGCCCATGCTGGACTTTGATGGTAGGATAACTGGGTCCCAGATCTTCAGCATCACCCCCACCCACTTATCATTAGAGGCAGAGGAAGCTGGTCTGTTTCCTTTCACTGAGAATCTGTTAACTGGCACATGTAGAGAGGAAACTGGAGGGGAGGGCAGAGATGACAGCACATGAACCCAAGTGACAAGCCACGTGTTAAGTTCTGTTGGGGAGGTGCAGTGCCAGGGCACGCGTAAGAGGAAAGAACCTCCAGACTTTATTTTGGGGACCTAGCTCACACCAGCCAAATACACTGTCAGAAGGCAGAGGCTCTGCAAACGTCACGGCCTTCCTGGTGTTTCTCTAGCATTAAACTACAGCGTAAACATTTGCTTCTCTGGCTTGTGTTCACTGCTTTCCAAGGAATGTGGAACTGGGAAGGAGAGCGTGCTTCACGGGTCTTAGTTCTTTCCTCTTGTAGCTTAAACATCTTGAGGCCCTGTGCCACGGAGTGGGTTGGCAGGTCTGTGTGGGCTGCTCTGCACAGCTGACACTGCCTGCTCCTTTGGAGCTCTGAGAACACGCTGCAGTGGCCCCGCTCACCCTTCAAGGTTGACGAGGACATGGGGCCACGTGCAGGGTAGCTGTTAGCGCATTTCAGAGTGAGGTACTGCATCTTTACTCCTAAACCTTATTTAAAGGAGCCCAGACGGTGTAAACCAGCCTGTTAATAGTGAATGTCTGTAAGCAACAGAATGGACAGGGCAGAATTGAGTAGTGGCTCAGGG